GTGAAGCTAAGCTAACGCTAAAGCTAAGCTGCAGCTAAGCTAACGCTAAGCTACGTCTAAGCTAAAGCTAAGCTAAATATAAGTGAAAGCTAAGACACATCTAAGCTAAAACTAAGCTAATATGCGATAATCTAAGCTCAGCTTAACTAAGCTAAGCTACAACTAAACTGCAGCTAAGCGAAGCAAAGCTAAGCTAAGCTACGCTAAGATGAGCAACGCTAAGCTAAGGGGACGCACCTGGGGGAACCGCGGGGCGGGGACTGGGGGAACCGCCCGGGGTGTTTTCCAATGCCCGCCCCTTTAAGCAAACCAGGTAAGAACCCTCCAGGCAGAGCCTAGGTAGGGAACGTAGCAAAAGCATACCCAACACTAGTCAAAAACCGTCGACAAATACATTTTTTTGAATACTTCACCTGTAGAGGGACATGCCCGACTTGAGATCAACCCTGGGATGCCCAGGTCGAAGGCCACGAGGGTGTCTGCCCCTCCGAGCGGGGTCGGCACACGCGGGAAGAAACGGGCCCCGAGGGAGACGGGCCCTGGACCCCTATGGGGCCTCCCCCCAGGACCAAATCCCCCCCTCCTCCTCCTCCTCCTCCTCCTCCTCCTCCTCCTCCTCCTCCGCCGCCGCCCGCCGCCGCCGCCGCCGCCGCCGCCCTCCTCCTCCTCCTCCTCCTCGTCCTCCTTCTCTCCTCCTCCTCCTCCTCCTCCCTCCTCCTCCTCCTCCTCCTCCTCTCCTCCCCCTTCCCCTCCCCATCCCCCTCCCCCTCTCCCTCCCCATCCTCCTCCTCCGCCTCCTCCTCTGCCTCCTCATCCTCCGCCTCCTCCTCCGCCTCCTCCTTTATCCCGAGCCGGTTTCTGACAACCTCGGGGCCCGTGGAGGGACCCGGGTTTCTGAAAAGGGCGAGAAACCGTACTCTTATTGCTATTATTATTATTAATAATATTATTATTGGTATTATTATTATTATTATCATTATTATTATTATTACTATTATTAGTATTATTAGTATTATTATTATTATCATCATTATTATCATTATCATTCTTATTATCATTATCATTCTTATTAGTATTATCATTATTATTATTGTTATTGTTATTAGTATTATTATTATCAATATTATTAGTTTTAATATTATTATTGGTATTAAACTAATAATTATTATTGTTGCTGTTATTATTATTAGTATGACTATTATTATTGGTAGTATTAGCATTATTATTACTATTGCTATTATTACTATTGATCAATTTTATTATGTTTGTTATTACTATGGCTATTGTTGTTGTTGTGTACTTCACCGGAGCCATCCTCTGAGAGAGGAACAATCTACAACACAAACCAAACGTTTCGCTCGAGACGTCTTCGCGTTTCTCTCGAGACATCCACAACAAACGAACATGTGTATGTTACCTGTGTTTAATCGATCTGATTTTTGTTCACCGCAGCGCTTCGTTCGGGACATCCTCAAATTTTTGTCTCGCCAGCCCTCCACGACCTCGCTACTATCACAACGAACTTCGGTGGCCTTACGCAAGTCGAGGCCCGGCATTTGGTTTACCTACTAAAACAAAATCCTGGGCCCATGCCCCTTGCAGGAGAAACAAGTACGACGCCCAGCGGCAAATGGGCCGTCGCTGTTCTATGGGCCAGCGGCGTTTCGTGTCGACTGGACAACGGCCGCAGCGACACCGACAGCGAGCCCCCTGCTCAGAATGGACAAACTGCCGCTGGTCTCCGCCCCCCATTCCGCAGGCGATGCCAAGGGGGCCACCGCTAGTGGGGTCGCCAACCCCGACGAGGAAGCGGACCCTCGGGGACTCCCCAGGACTCCCTCGGCGGCGAGCCCAAGGGAAAGTGAAAAGGGGCGGGCCTTCTCAGAGTCCGAGCCTTCCGAGAAGTTTTCTAAAGCTTCCCTGACGACGCAGAAAACCTCTCAGCAGGCGCGAGAGCTTCTGAGAAACCCCGCCGCCTTCTGAGAAGGCCTATTCTTTCTCGCTTCCCCCCCCCGCGCCCGCCGCCGACCCAGGGTTCCCTCAAGTGTCCCAAACTTCATCGATCCTAGATCCTCTCTCCTCCTGGACCCTCGATTTCCGGGAGGAGCCGGTGACCCCCCTATTTTACAAACGCTGTCTGACTTCCTTCCGCGCCCGCTGCGATTGCACCGAGCCGGGGCTGAACATGTGTTCCCCAGGAGAACTTCGTGTGAGGATAGTTCGAGAATCTCTGCGACCCAACGGCTCTGCAAAATGTCTCGGGCACCGCGGCCTTGTCCGAACGTTCCGGAACGCTCTCAGAGCGTTCCGGAACGCTCTGGAGCGGATTTATCCTCGTCCAGCCCCGCCCGAAGCAGCGAAACCCACCCTTCTTCAAGCTGCGTGCACCTCGCGCATCAGCTGACACTGCGAATCAGATCGAGTTGCGCGCGAAGTCGCGAGATGCAGCTGGGACAAGGGGGAAGGGGAACGGGGACGAGGCGCAGGCGCTGGAGGAGGGGAGGAGGAGCAGGGAGAGGAGGAGGATGAGGAGGAGGAGGACGAGGAGGAGGAGGTTGTTGTGGAACGACCTAACGTCAATGGGAACAAATAAAAAGACCGCCCCTTCCGAATCCGACGCCTCCTCTTCCTCGGGATCCTGGAGAGGTCGCCGTGCCGCTTCGCCTAGCGACCTGATCTCGTCTAGGTCGCACTCCTGCAGGCCGAAAGCCTCCAGCGCGGGTTCTCGGGAGGCGTAGCCGAGCCTCGCAAGGCCTACGATCCCTGCGGCAGGAGACGGCGAGGAAGAACAGCGCGCGCTCATGAGATCCCTCTCCGCTTCCGAGAACCCACAAGGCTGGGAGACGGCAAGGTTCTTAAACGAGGCCCTTCCACGGGGGTGCTGACCGTCGCGAATTCTCTTGAGCTGGTGCCTTACTTGAGCTGACCGAGGCCGATGGTTACACCCTGCTCTGAGCAGGTCCCCTGGCCTGTAGTCCTCACTGTAGGCACCACGCTTCACACAAAATGCAATGGGCACCCCCGCGCGGACAGGACTCTCGATCTCACAGCGCATCAGGGCGTGACCTTGCACAGAGAACGCAGAGGTGGCCACGTCGGCCCAGTCGAACCCTTCCGTCCCACCCAACCCCAGCTCCACCCCGTCCCCGCCCTCAGACACGTCGATCTCTGGCTCAGGCAAGGGCGGGTGCTCGTGGGTGTCGGGGAACAGCCTTTTTTTCAGCTGCTTCGAGCCCCGCAGTGTCAAGACGCTTGTCAGACTGACTCTGCAGGAGAACTTCTAAATTGGCGGCCCACTTGGCCGACTCCTTGACTAGACACTTAAGACCTCTGTACAAATGCACATCTGCCTCGCGAAGATTGTGCTTGGCTGCACCCATCTTCGCATGAGAGTCGACCGAACCGTTGGCCTTCATTTCCCACAGGGTCGTCTTGCCACTGTGGACGTCTGTCATCGTGCAGTGCGCTGCCGTCTTGGTCGCCGTGAGGTCCCCACAAGAGAAACTCGACCAGAACGGGGCCCAGAGATGGGTCCTGGGCCCCCCAGCCGAGGCCCCAGCCCCCTGGCCACCCCAGAGGACTTCCAGGGTTCCTTGACAGTCACAGTATAAAGCAATTGGCGCCATAGCACACTGTGTAAGCATATGCTCTGCATAGTCCTCTCCATCTCTAGCCGACTGTCTCGGCCCATGGGAGAAAGGCGCTGGCCCATAGCAGGCAGCTACAACATTGCCCAGGGGATCAGCCTGGACTAAAGCCCAACCAGCCCTCGAACGCCCAGGGATCCCTGGCCAGAGAGCGGACCCGTCCGAGAAAATTAAGCCACTGAGTCGGCCTGACTCAGGCCTGTTGATCCAGAACACTGTCTGCTCGGGTTCCTGGGCAGGAAAAAGAACCATCGGCGAAGGGAAGATCGCACGCGCAAATCTCTCAGCGAGCTCATCCCCTCCTTCGTACACACGGGCAGCCCTGCTGGCTAGCTGCGGCGAGACCATGTCCCTCCTGAGTGCCGCGTGGGCCGAACATCGATATTGCCAATGAAACAAGCTACCCGCCTCCTCCTGACAAATCCTACACTTGCAGCAACTGTGGTACCCATACTTGTGCACCCTGGCTTGAGGCCAATGCACATTGCTCAACAAGCTCCTCAGGGACCTCTGATGCTGGGGCTTCCAAGAGGAGGAGGAGGACCGGAGGAGAGGCTTCAACGCATCCCAGAACAGAGGGTACCCTGGGAGGTCATCGCCTGCCTGCATTAAAGCCTGCCTGTCAGACGCCCTGATGGCCGCAGCTCTAACCTGCAGACGAAACTCGACGGGGGATATCTGGGACAGATTCCAGACCTGCCCGAGGTCCGACTCCACCGTGCGGAAATCACGAAAGCTCCATCCTACTCGACGCAGGCTGAGAACAGCCACGTCCGCAGGAGTCGAGGCTCCTCTCCACGGGTACGTCCTCGAATTCGCTCGCGCTATGGCTGCATCAGCCGTCGCATTCAAAATCGAAACATTCGGAAAGCTGTCCCAAACGGCGGTAGCCCATTGGAAGGCCACGTGGCCGACATAGGCCACGAAGGGATCCACGATTTCCCCGAGGCGAAACGAGTGCAACCTAATCCCCAAGGAGGCATCTTTTGGGTGGCGCCCTAACGCATGGGCCGCCGACAGCCTCAGGCCATGCATGGCCGTCGGCGAAATCCCAGAAACACTACCCCAAAGGGCTGAGGCCGTGGCCCCCATTCCCTGCACGAGAGCCACATCGGCCCCAGCCTCCCTTAGAAGTCGAAGACGCTTCGAGCGCGATCCAGCATCAATGAACCTCGCCCTCTGCACCCCGATTCGTCGTCGTGAACCAGTAGTCGCATCTGTGCCAGGAGGAGGAGGAGGACGAGGAGGAGGACGAGGCGAGGGTAGGCTATCGGGATTGAGCGGAGCCGCCGAATGCCCCAGGTCGGAGGCGGCGGCGACGAGGGCGCAGAGGGCGGCGCGGGAGGGCCCGGCCTCTGCCGCCCTGCGGCGCCCGCGGCGGGGCCGCCTGGCGCCCGCGGCACCTTTTTGGCCCTCGCGGCTCGCGCTCGACGGCGCAGCTCGCGGTCGGAAGCGCGGCAGCCTGCAGCCATCGTGCCTCGGGCGGCGAAGTCTGTACCTTTCCACTGCTCCCAGGCCAGGCCCATTCTGAACCCAGGAGCTGCGCAGACGCCCTCCTGGCCAGGCCAGGAGGGCGTGCCGCAGACACCGCCGCTGGGTTCAGGATGGGCCTGGCCAGGGAGCAGTGGATAGGTACAAACTTCGTCACCAATGCCACCAAACGGAATGCTGTTTTTTTGAACTCTGCTCCTGCTCCTCCTCTTCTAGAAGAACACAAGACATCAACGAACAACATGATCGACCCACGGAACCAGAAAGGCATCTAGACATGTGAGGCATGGCCACCACGTTTTCAAGACACCTGCTTTGGCGACGGGCAAATGCAATGCTGAATGTATCGATCTTAATGTACCGTGCCAAAAACTGTGCTGTGTCGCACAGTGCTGCATTTTGATGTGCCATGCCGCGATTGTGCTCTATAGCGTTGGGGATCAAGTCCTCCTTTGCATCTGAGCCCTGACCGAACTGATCTGAATCTTAAGCTCGAGCTGCCTGAGCACATAGTAGCTGACCAGAGCTAGTTGAAGTGGAAACGTGCGGGACGTCCAATCAACTCGACCTCAACATCCGACTCAGTTCCGAAAAGGAACGACACGACAGGGGGCACAGGCTCACAGACGCGCCACAGGATGTGCCAGGGGCGCCGTTTGGGATGCGCCAGGGGGCGTGTCAGGGGACGTATCAAGGGACGTGCCCTGGATGTGTCAGGGACCTGCCACGGGACGTGCCAAAGTGCGTGCCATGGGGCAGCTAGAGGACGTCATGCCAAGGGACGTTGCAAGAGACGCGCCACGGAACGGGCAGGGGAAACGCCTGGGGACGAGCCAGGACACGCGACAGAGGACGAGCCAGGGAACGTGACACGTCGAGTGGCGTGCTAAGGAACGTGCCAGGGCACGTCACGCCAGAACGTCGCAAGGGACGCGCCAGGGGACGCGCCAGCGCGCCAGGAGACGCCCCACGGACGGGTGGGGTTGGACTGCGATGCACTCTACTGCGACAAGCGGTGAGCTCGAGACGTCCTCAACAAATCGTCATGTTAGACATCCGCCTGGACGAAGTGGACACGTGAACACAAGCGTCTCGCTCAACACAGATCCTCAACACATCATCATGTTAGACATCCGCCTGGGCGATGTGGACACGTGAAACTAAGCGTATCGCTCGAGACGTCCTCGACACATCCTCATGCTAGACATCTGCCTGGGCGACCTAGCCAGTCAAGCCCAGCGCGCATACGGTGCATCGGCAAATAAGAAGTTGTCCGTGCAGCGACAGAGACAGAGCCCGCACGCCGCAAGAGTCCACGCGAGGGGACTAAGCGGGTTGGGGGCCGGAACACCCCGGAAGGCAGTCTATACGTGCCTCGCTGCGAATAAAATGCAATTCGTCCGCGACGTCGGCGACACACCTTGAACCGAATCTCGTATCATCCTAGTGTTGGAAGATAGATGGACACGCGGGGGGAGGGAGGGAGGAAGGACGAGGAAGGGAGAAGGAGAAGGTAACGAAAATACAAACAATGCTAGGTAAGAGCCTATGCGCACAAAAGGCCCACTGTTGTTTTGGCCTCCTGGCGGTGCTTGTGTTCCCACTATCTGGGAAGGTCTGTACCAGGCATGCGAGTCAGAAGGCTCAGAGGATGGCGCTCGAGGGGCGCGACAATCTTTTGATTCAGTCTACTCTGCCGGTCGCGCAAATGTAGAGCTCAACGGAAGTCCCCCGGCGCGCTCCAACACATCTGCATTCGATACTCTTGACACATATGCGCTCGGAATTCTCAGAATCCGTCGCAGGCTCCGCGCATGAAGGCTGTCAACACGTTTCATGCCAGCTTGCAGAAACCAGTGTTTCTAAATTTTGCAACAGCTTTGGCAGGACAGTTGCTTTGTACAAGCGGATTTCCCTGGAGCGGCAGATGTTAGCGTGCGACCAGCACGGGGGCAAATTCTTGAACATCTGTCTGGCTTCCCGGATGCTCCTGGTGTAGCTACACAATCTACGTTCAACAGCTATCCAAGATGCGCGGCTCGATCCACATTCTGGAGTGGCGTCCCGGCAAGAGAACCAAACATAGTCCCCGTATGATGTACGCGCATACAGACAGTTTTAATATATTTGAGTTCCAAGCTGTATCGTTTGCCTTCGTCAACCAACATGTCCAGAAGGGTTTGTAGTTTCTCCGATCTACTGCTTAGCAACATTGTGTCGTCAACGTAGAGCAGATCCCCAGAGACCATCTATTCCGGCTCTTGAACGTCGGCGTGAAGCCCTGCCATTCGCCCGTCAACACTTTGAAGCACTACACAAGAATATGGAGATAGAGGGCAACCTTGTTCTATTCCCGCCGAGTGGCGTCGTTCGCTGGAATCTTTAGGAGTGTCTTTGAGAAAGAAAGTGCGATGCCGATACATTGCTGCTATCGTGCCCACGCCAAATCAGCGGAGAGCGCCCAATAGAGTGTCGTGTTTGTCTCTGTCAAAAGCTTTTGACCAGTCTAGATATATTGCGATCAAGCCCAAGGCTTGGCTTCTCTGCGCCGCTTCGAACATGCGCCAGTCGATGCTGATGGCTTGAGTTGTGCTTCTCCTGGGCCGGAAATCGAATTGGCTCGAGCGTATCCAGTCTTCTGCGCCTCCATGCTGAAAGCGCTTCTGAAGCATCCAAGCCAATATTTTGTATCCGATCTGTAGGAAAGAATTCGGCTTATAATCCCCAGGTGAACTTGTATCCCCCTTTCGTGAAGAAGAGCCACAATGAAGTACGCCTTTCGCCGGGCATGTTCTTCTCGCCCCAGCATCGTTGAAATAATTTGAGCAATTCCCCGCAGGCTTCTTCTTCAGACAGTGGCAGAATCTTCCAAACTTCTGGTGGTGCTTCGCCTTTGCCTCCGACTTTCCCGTCTGCGAGCGCGCGGCGTGCATCTTGGGGCCCTTCCTTGTCGAGGGTGCCGGTGAAGATGTCCAAGGTATCTCCAATGCTGGTGCGATCATTTGGGGAAAATTCTGCGCGTGTAGCTTTCCATAGTATGCATTCGAAGTAATCTGCCGAAGAATCAGCTCTTCGCGTGCTTTCCACCACCTGCCCGTCAACGTTTTGAATATGGATTGGTCGCTTCGGCGATCCAGTCCGTCGCGCGCGCTGCGGCCCAATGACCTCCATCTAATTGTTGATCCAACCACTTCGACTTGTCATTCCGCGCGGGTTCTTTGATGAGTCTGTAAAGCCTCTGTTGCCCCGTCGCATCTTTCCTTGCCTGAGCTCGGTCTCTCTGGTTTAGCAGATCAAGCGTTGCTGGGGAAATCCCGGGCCGCCGAGGATTCCTTCCCGCCTGTGCGATTTCTTTTGCAACATGCGTCGTTGAATCTGTGATGAACTTGGCATGTGTGTTCACATTCTCTGCGCTTGTTGGCGCCGTTGTAGCTTCGCAGAACCGGCGCTGATAGTTTTCAACGACGGCTCTGTCGCTCAGCAGTACGTTCACGCAGTGGTTCGTTTTCCGGGGGGGAGATTCGGAACGCTGTCGGATTGCATATCCAAGTGCGCCCATAATGAGCAGTGCCGGGATGCTAGCGCAAGTGTTCTGTCCGCCCAAATGTCAATCAGATATCTCCCCGGGCGCGTGGTGGTCCGCAAGGCGCGTGTCACTTTGAGCAAAACCATCAGCTATTGGAAGTGTTTCGCCCACTTCTGCCCCGTAGTGCGCGGCCAACTTTTCAAGGGGATTCGCAGAATGCGCATTCCCAATCGCGCGCGAGACAGTCCGGCAAATTTCTAATAGCAACTCTCTGTTTAAAATTTGTCTTTGTCGCGGCCATTTGCGCCGGAGCAATGTTCGCGAATTGCGTCTTCGTCTCCGGGCCCCCGGTCGCGCGATGTAGAATTAAAATCGCCAAGAGCCAAAGTGCAGCAATGTAGCGTTGGTATTTGCATCTGCGCCCTTTCCGTGCTTCCTTCCTTTTCGAGGTGCGCGATTCGTTGAGGGAATGGTATCTTTGCCCGTTCCCAGGGATAAGACATAAGAGACTGCGTTGACGTGGTAGGTCGGCGTCTTTGTCCGTATCCAAACCAACATCCATACTGGCAAGCAGTGCGTTCACTTTGACAAGACGATGATGTCGACGTGGAGTCTGAAGTAGTGGCGTTCTGGCAGCAAGGCTCGTGCTGCGAGTCTCGATTGCCCGCCGTATTTTCTATTTCCCAGCGCTTCCTTTCGAGGTTCCTTTGGCCCCGCCTTTCATCCCTAATGGAATCCCCTCCAATATGGCGTCGCACTTTTGCGATGAATCCAACAATTTCAGCTGGGTTTGCAATCCGGCCAATTCTGCCCAATCCTTCTCCCAGATGCGTTCGATGCGATTGCCAGCAATTTTTACGGTGAAAACTAAATGCCTACCGACTTCAACAATCTATGGTGTTTCGTCGGAAACCCTGATCTTGTATGGGCTGTCCATGTCTTGTGCCAGTATATACTTCAACCCAAAAGAAAGATGGCGTGCCGCCCTCACGGCTGGATCCCTGTCCTTCGTACACCAAACAGTGTGTGCGCCTCGCTGGAGTTTGGCACTGCGTAGTTGCGCCGCCACCGTATCCCTTTCGAGCATCGTCTGAAACTCGGAGAAAAAGATGACCTTGAACTTGCCTTTCGGATATATGTTTGTAGGGATTGGCCCGTCCATTTTGCTCAACGCTCTCCGCATATAATCGGAAGCGGCACCGAGATAATCAAATCCTTCCAAATTTCCTATCACCGCTGTGGCCGCGCGCTTCCCGTAGTAGTGGTACTGGTCACCCGTGTTATGTGAAACGCTGGATGTAGCCGAATTCGCACGGTTGCCACTGTAGCGGTAGTCTGCAGAGTTGTGCGATATCCTGGAAGCCCATCGC